ACATGCAGCTTCGATACTGCTCAGCTCTGACTGTATGCTACGGCAATGTCTTGAATGCTCCTGCGTGCTAACCTAACAGAAAGCTATTTGGGTAAGTTCGCGCTAAATATAATTTAAAGAAAAATGAATTTTAGTTTATGTGTCTTGGTTATATTTCCCTAGCCTTCGTGAGCCACATTTGTGCAGAGCTCAGTGTAAATATATTGCCGATGTTAGTTATAAATACAGACCTAGCAATAAGTCGATGTGCCCTCACTATGTTATTGAAGTTGGACTATGCATATTAATATTATTGTCACTCATCTTGTTCAGTCCTTATACCACTCCCATTTTAGCTGTTAACATAGTTCTTTGTTTCACTTTTCACACTCACCTCTCCATGGAAACGCTGAGTTTCGACTGAAGTCAATCCATAGTCTTTTCTGATCAAAGGAAACAAGTTTCTCTCGGTTACGTGAAAGTGGAGTCACTTCACTTTGCAGTTATGATGTACCAAGTGGCATACAATGTGCCTCTGATGTAATACCTCAGAATGACTTTCTAGACGTCTACTTATGCGACACGCTCAGTGTATCGATGCGCGTTCAATTTTCACCCATATTCGCAAACAGTGTTGTCTCAGGTAAAGGTAGATGAGTGTGCACTTGCATTCTTTTCACCATGTTTTTCCCGCACATAGGCTGTACAGACCACTCTTCAAAAAGAAGCTTAATGCGTTTCTGATTCCGGCGACGGCACCATAATTCGCGACCACGGATAGGTCAGCTGGTATTCCCCCCCCCCCCGGTAGTCGACAATTGCGCCACTAGCCCCAATTCGTTTCTTGATGTCTGGTAGGCTAATTGCGAAACTAAAAAACAATAAAAATTGCTGATCCTTCTATATCAACGTTTTTGTAGATTGGAGAGGAGAAAACACCGAGCCGCCTGTAGTCTGCTACGCGCTAGACGAGCGCGTGATTGCAATATGAGTCACAAACAAAAAAAAAACACCGCTTACGTTTTGTTTTTCAGGTTGTGTTGCTTCTGCATATATTGTTTTCACCCCCACCCCCCGCTTTTAGTTGCTACTTTTCTCACACTCTCAGTACCACAGATCATTTGTTTGGAAACATTTCTCAGTTGAATGCCAGTGATCCAGCGAGCCTCAAAGTGTTACAGTTTTGTATGAGCGAGAAAAAGGAGTAGTCGGAAAATGCGGTTTAGTCACTGTTTTTCTTAGCAAGCTATTGCGAACAATAAAACTCAACACAGGCCACAATAGCACAAAGCTGTGCATCTCGTACAATAAATACATATGTTATCATTCTGCATCGGTTACACAAACATAATAGAATTCCTGACATATTTCATTGTATACAAAATATAGCTGCAGGTTTCGCAATGTTCATTGCTGTACACAATACAATTCTCCAAAAACGATGGCTTATAGTAACACATTCATAAATAATGTACTGATCATCCAATGCAGATGACCAGCACACTCAGCCCAGCACTACAAGCTTCTTTTTTTATTTTTTCTATGAAAGTTGCTAGTCGGAACAACCTTCCATAGCAAGCAAATTTCATACATAACTCCGCTTGTGCTAATGCACCGTTACATGTTGAGCAAATTTTATTTACATTTTAACACTTGACTATTTCTTGATGCAACGCGTAAAGCCTCTTTCAAAGCAGTGGCTTTTCTAATAGGGCATTATATTCTACACCACTATATAGCACTTATTCCTCGCAATTTGTAATGCACATATTTTGTATCGCAGTTTAGACATGGGTATCACAATCCTACAACAACAAACACCAAATGTCACCCTGCAGACAGAGCTTTCCATTGATAAGAAGCAAATGCAGTATAGGCAAGTGTCGATGGTTCATCATCATTAGAAATTGGGCTAGAACAGTTATGCACAAAAGTATAACGGTTCTCGCTCCTTCTGAATATGGAGAAATGTCCAAAAAATCGATCCTGTTGCGCTGGTCTCGTCGCGTTGTCGTCTTCGGTGGCCGCGGAGGATGACGCAGAGGAAATTCAGATTGACTGCATTTATTGAATCAGCCTGCACACATAGCTCCGAACGAGTCTATTCTGATCGGTTTTTAAGACAGTCTTCTAATATGCCTGAATCATATAAAGCATATTTTTTAGAGCTCCTAAGCCCAGCTTTGTGCGTCATGTTGGAAGCGTAGGACAAATCTGAGCTGTACTATTGGTAATTGACTGAAGGTAATTTGTCATTTGACCTTTGAAGACGCCTTAACAAACCGGCGGAAACCCCTAAACTTTGCTGGTACACTTGTTTGTGGCACAGCGCGCTTTCTTAACTTAATAAAATGTTTCTGGCTTTTCTAGAAGGAGCTACTTCCTCCTCATTTGGCTTTAAAACGAAAGTATTCGTGGCAAGAATGCCGAGTATTATTTATTTTGAAACTTCACCGCATCAAGTTCTAGGTATTGAATTTCGCGTATCGTAGCAATGCATTATGGCGCAACCGTGTGAGCTATGAATGTCAGCATAAATACAATACCTTGCACGCTGTTTCCGCCGATATCAAAATGCGCTGAAGTGTTTTGTGAAGATAGCCTACTCAGGAGGTTGCCTAAAGAATCGCTGCACCTACAAAAGTATTAGGCTGTTAGTAAGACAATTTTCGTAAATTTGAAGCTTCTGAAGTTTTCGTTTCGCAGCGGACTTTCTCTCACGCTGTTTCTTGAGGGCCCTATTCATGTCACTTATGTGTAGCATAAGCAATGCATAGCAAAGCTGCCACATAATGTCCAAGCAGCACTTTTCAGAGCAAGATATTCCTTTGGGCAGACTGCTGTTTACCTCATCTTTCAGCAGAGCAGTTACGTGGCACAAATGCGCAACAATGCCATGTGTTCCAGAAAACATTTCTTCATGTCCTTCATTGCCGCGAAGAAAACAGCACAAGGCAGCGTCTGAAAACAGTACAAGGCAAAAAGACCGCCTTCCTTACCTTGAGATTTAGGCATGGCTAATGTTTGATGGGAATCTGAGAATGCCGGATCACCACTCCTTAGGAATGACTCATAGATGCATTCGGCTGGCCTATTCTCAAGAACTCGCTGGGTGATGTCAGCCGCAAAGTAGTACAATGCATTCTCCTTCATGATATCAAGGAGGTCTTCACCCGAGGTCTCGCTTGGTAAAAGTGTTTCTGTTACTACAACTTGATGGGCTCGAGGCTCACCTAAGGTCAACCGTGCAAGTAGGTGTGAATCGACGACTTTGCGATTCCCGCGCGACGACAGGTTTGACAGTTTTCTAACGAAAACCTGTTTCAACGCAGCAATAAATTGAAACGCGTTCAGACATTCATTGCAGCCATGCTTCTGCCTCAAAGTGCTGAATAGGTTCTCCAGCCAGTCTTCCTGCAGGCGACGAGTCAGGAGGCATGTAGAGATATAATTATTATGAAAGTTCACAGCATAGGAACAGCTTGTATGGTGACTAGCCAGCCATGGAATGGTGTGCGGCTGCCTAGGGCTGTCGATTCTCCAGCACGATATCCATTTGATTGCCTGTTTTAAAATCGCCAGGTGCTCTGAGGTGGCACACACAGCATAATTCATTTTGCCAGGAGTACTAGCAGTGGCAGTTTTGCTATAGTGGCAATCAAATAGCTTGTTAATCTGTTATAATAAATCTGCTGTAGATTAGGCAGTCGCAGATAGCTTTCCAAGAGCCATCATGACTGACTTGGCTACCGACACACACTCGCTCAGGACTTGCGCCGCGAACTTGACTTTCATTTTGTTGAAAGTCGGCGTCCTGTAGATATGATACAATGTTAATTTTTTTCACAAATTTTACTCAATGTGGGTCAGAGCGCTCGTACAGTATCTCCTGTCTACAATTTTGGTGTATTGAAAAGCTTGTGAGGGGCTCAAAGGTTATTTTTTGTGCACTTCAATAGGCGTGGTGTGTCGAAGAAGAAATAAACTTTGTGTCCGTTCACTTCAAATTGCAGATTTTGTGCTGTTGCTGCCGATTCATCAAATTGATTGGTATTACCTGTCCCCTGATCGAACACTACAGCTTTGACATACAGTTCCATATTCTGCAGGTTGCGCTATCAAGGCTAGTAGAAGTCTCGGGATCTTTTGCGCCCGCAGAACAGTTTTGGCAAGAGCGAACGCCACTGGCATCACCCACGATTGCGAGATTCCAGAAAGGAGTTCCACAAACGCTACACTTGCCACCGCTGTTGTCCTATCAGAGCCATTATCTGAAAACCAAAGACTACGTCATGTTTTGTATCATACTTTAAATTTGATCTCACTGCCATTTCATCAAATGCAATTACGCATGCCCGATCTTCTTCTCGCCAATTTTTTGCTGCGTCTTCAGGAATGTCCAATACATTAGAACTATATGCGGGTGTATAAGCAATTGTTAAATACTTTGGTAAAGAGGATTTCGTTGGCGACACATGAAGACAAAATGTCAAATATAATCACTCCATAGTATTGATGCGTGTAATAAAAGTCTTTGACATACACAATTCGTCATTTTGTGACAGGTTTAGCTAACTTCAAAAATTTTACGCTTATTTACATATATCTAGCTTTCGTTGTCAAAACCAGTCTTGCTATTAACAGCGCTTCTCGATATGGCGTCTTACATTAACAGTAGCATGAGATAAGTGCTGGCAGATATCATATTTTTATTCATTATTTGCTCGGACTTCTCTTTATATATTCGAGCTACCACAGGTAGAACATCTCATGTCGTTGCAAATCAGTATTGCGTAATCTTGCAAGGCGGCGAAATAGTTAAGAAAAAAAGAATAGACAGCCACACGATTGTGGCATGAAGCTGCAACTAATAAGCTTTTTTTTTGAGAAATCTGTATGGGTTTTGTTGTGGCTGTGTGCCACAATCGGGCGTTTTTCTATGTTCTTTTTTTGTGTAATGTCGTCGTAAACTACACCATAAAAAGTTTAGTAAAATGGGCGTATTTTTTACAACAACAATAATAGTCAACCAGCTTGCTCTAGTTTTCTTTATTAAAAAATTGCCGCTGGTCACCATGCTATCAAGAATGCTATTTCACGCTATCAGCCTGCCGTTCGTGACCAGTAGGTGCAGGGCGCGTAGCTTTAATGCAAGGAAAGGAACGCAAGATAGATGACGATTATCGTTGTGGGAAGAAATGACGCCATTTTTACTGGATTTTTTCTCAGAGTGAACTTTGTAATTTAAAGAATTCTTCAATATGCCTTGTTAAAAAAGAAGGAGCCACTGTGTTCGGTTAAAAAGAATAAAACGCCCGAACCTTATTAATACATACACAGGAGAGCGTCAGCAAAACGAGTCTTTCTACTTTGCTTTTCCTGGCCGGATGTTTCTGTGCAAGGCGCACACTCATCAAATTGGCCACACGTGGAAAGGCCAATGGCCCAGGCACTGGGGATTTGGGGTCAACCGGTGTCTGGCTGGAATCTGTAAAAAGAAATAACGTCGAGCGCAGGGCATTTATTTTGACACAACTATATATTGGTCGTAGCCCCAGTACAGGCAGGCACACAACCAACGATTGTAAGACTTTTTGCTGAGTGCCTAGTAGGGAATAATAAAGTATGCAAACTTGTGCCACAATACAAAAACAGAATGAAGAAAGAACACACAAAGCTAGGCGCATAATCGCAACTGGCATTTTATTGAATCGAAGCCACATGAAAAGACGGATACGAATTTGTATTTCTTTTTATTAGCTTGTCAAATGCACTTATTTTTGTCTGTTATTGCTTTAATCTGTTGGCGTTGCGCTACCAAGCGATTCCGGCGTTTAACCTTACCAAATCGCACAAATACTTACCCTGCTAAAGTATTTGCGGTTGATAAACGTCCCTTTGAATAAATGCCCAAATCTCTTTTTTTTTAAACAAGGCCTGCTTGCAAATTCTTCCTACACAGCACTTTTACGCTCGTTGCTTTCTTTCGGTAAATAAAAAATACGATATCTTGTCACTTCATCTGTTGTCCTCTATTCCACTCCACCCGAAATAAGCAGCTCTCCGGGATCGCCCGCTGAATGCATTCAAGTAGCAAGAATTCGGTAATACTCTTAGTATGCAAGAGAAAAACTGCATTTATTGATGTTTATCATTACCTTTAGCGTACACTTAGCATGACCGAGATCAGACGGTGATTCGCGGGAGGCTGAGCTGTCTGTTGTGGAACCGCCTTATGTAAACAAAAAAAAAGGCATTTCAGTTCGCATGTTTTATATAGCCTCAGCACATTTTCCGTAAAATGGTGCCTTCTAAGACAAGTGGTTTAGCTGCGACGGTACATCTTTACATGACTTCTAAAAATATTCCTCTAAAAACAGTAAGCATTGCTCCAAGATTTATTGCTGTTGTACATTCACGCAACATGTTCACGATTGCTGTTGCCTCATTTGCTGGCTCAGATTATTGTAGTAGTGCAGAAATTTTTTCTCTTTACTTTCGTTTTATCATTACACCATGTCTCACGCACGTTTATAGAGTGGCTGCGAACTATTCGACCACCTGTGGTGTGCGCGACCTTCACGCTTATTGAAACGCGATTCAATCCCAAGACATCTTGTTTCCAATTGCAACATCATGTCTGGTACGCGACAACAGCGGGTGATTGATGTATCGTTTGCAGCCAGGCTAAGAGCACTGCATCTTCCTACGAGCGTGAATTCTGTCGTTGTGAAAAGTATATATTGTCATCTTTCACTGCGCCAGAAAGCTGGAAAATGTTCTCATCGTTAGCTACATGAGCAGTTTTGAAAACCCTTCAGCACGCATGATTTTCCAATTGGGAAAAAAACGAAAAGAACGCTATGAAAGACCGGTAAAATGGGCAATCGCAGGGAACTGTGGTATACGATGGCTTCCGGTTCGACGCACCACACAAGTCAGCAGCGGCACACGCGCATTTTTTTACTGCTCTGTTGAAAAAAGCACCTCGACGGGCAATTTCAGAGCTTTAGAAGTTTTTTTTTCTTTTGCCAACTGCGACTGTGACGTTGACAAGCTACGAAAGCCATGAACGGTTCGGAAAAATTTCGGCGCACTAAAATTATGTGCAATGCTTTTATGCTGTTCGGCGGTGCTGTCAGATCGGCTGGCAGATCAGTCGATACGGAAAACAGTTTTCCTTGTATGATACAGTACTGCAGTTAAAAGTCACCATTCCAAAGATCTCAGGGGAAGGGGAGGACTGTAGCAGTGTGCTAAGAGTTCATTTCGGGATCGCTTCTACGACTGAACTCGTCAGTCGATCGGCATGAAGCGCAACTCCTAATGAGCGCGTTGAGATACATTTTTCTAGCCTTCAGCGCGGTATAAGATACATTTATTAGTCGAAGCCAGATGCTTATTTGAACGCTAATCTTGGTCAAGCTGCATGGCACGGCGGCACATAAACAATACAGTCAGACATAGACAGCGCCGAATAATCGAAACCCTGTGCTTGTTTAACGCACTTCTTCCTTTGGGTGCCGTCCTGGCGCACAGTTTCACCAAGATAAATGCAAATGGACTCGTCTGGCGCTTCGTTTAAATTTACTCTTGAATGAAGCTTTCACGTTTTTGGTCATGTATATGGGCGCAATGGCCGGCGCTCATCTCGTATGGCAGGTAGAGTTCGCCCGCGCGTTCCCATGATATTTTAGCTAGGCGTGCCTGAGCGACAATTTATTCCTCATTATAATATTCGCAGCAAATTTATGCGTAAGCTGTTTTAGCCTAGAATACAAACGTACCAGTAATAAAATGGTTTTTGCACACTATGGCTTGAACGTTCCGTACTCAAAGGGTACCTGTCGCTGTGGCTCTCTTCACAGCCACGGCCGACCTCTTTTTTTTTCTTCGTCCCTTGGGAATTATACATGCGTTTGCCTTTAAAGCTCGATTAGGAGCAGCCCCGCCACAGCGTTCTAGTTACTAAGGTACTCGGCTGCTGACCCGCAGGTCGCGGGATCGAACACTCGCTGTGGCGGCTGCATTTCCGATGGAGGTGGAAATGTTGTAGGCCCGCGTGCTCAGATTTGGATTCACGTTAAAGAACCCCAGGCGGTTAAAATTTCCGGAGCCCTCCACTACGGCATCTCTCATAATCATATGGTGGTTTTGGGACGTTAAACCTCACATATCAATCAATCATCGATTAGGAGCAGCCAACGGCTGGGCAACCGACCATGGCCTATCAGGATGAAGATAAACTGGCGGCCCCGCACGCGAATCCAGAATAATTTTAGGCTTGTGGCGAAGCGGTTCGCCGTCGTCTACTCATCTCAAATCGGAAGCCGATAGCAGACGGTGCATCCCACAATCCATTATTCTTTTACTGGTCACCTAGCTCCTGGCTCAGGCGTAAAAACGTTCGCTACGAAACTTCACGCGAAGCCGTGGCAGATGACACAGAAAAAAGCGCTTGTGGCAGTTGACTTTTGCGCTGTGCCCTGTATACTTGTTTTACACAAAGCAAGCATACGCGCCTCTTTCTAACGCCTAAAATGAACAAGCTGGCCTGTGCATACCTGCAATCTGGGCGATGCTCTGCTTGCCAGGGGGGTCTTGAGCCGCAGCAGCTGTGACTTCTGCCCGGGACGTGCCTTGAAGATAGGGTAGATATCAGTCTCGTTAAAGTAGGTGGCGAAAGAAGGCAACTGAACATTGAGGTGGTAGCATGAAATACAGTGTAAAGGACACACCTTGAACTCATGCGCACCGACAGGAACATCAACCGACAGGAAAAGAAAACACGTTCGCTTTCACCATCATCTATTGCCAAAAAAAGTAATAGTGAGTAATGGCTAGTAGACTAGTGTGTCTAGATGGCACTCCCTCTCTTCTCAGGCCTGAAGTGCGTGGTACCTTGTCAACATATCAAACGTTGTGTGCGACCACGGCGCAGGCTGCAGTAATCGCCCGATATCACTCGCCGCACGAGAGGTGAGAGAACGTAATCTAGCAGCGCTTGTCTACCGGCCATGACTCGCTATCTTGCTTGGCCATGGATGACGCCAAAAGCGATCGTGTTTTCTTCACTTGGTGATTGATGATGCTGTAGGTAGCCGCCGCAGAGCGCAGGCCATGCGTACGCGTGTTTCATTTCATAGAGAACGACAGTGTACATTTGCGCTCGGGTGATTCCTTCGAAGTCTCCATTTTTCGTGTATTTTCGTCATACGTCACAGCTAAAAAATGCAGCTAAGAACAGCAAGGATATTAAAAACTTATAAAAGTGACAAAAATATAGAGAGTGCGAAAAAAATGGCAAAAACAATGTTTCACAGGTTCAAAAGCGAAGCGCAGCTCCGACTGAGCGCAGGTAACACGAAGTTTTCGTAACACGAAATGCAAGCAGTCACTGCTACGCAAATAAGTTTTGAGGGTTCTATTTTATACCTTCAAACGTAGTAATGTGACTACAAGCAACTGATCATCAGAATGCTCTAAAGCCGAACCAGTTCATCGAAGAAGCACATTCGGCAAACACACTTTGCAAGATTTCTTCTCGAGGAAAATATATTACGAGCTACCGCTAAATAAACCGACACTGATGCGGAATTTCCGTCTGCAATCAGCTCACGATAAACTGCCTGCAAGAGCTTTACATGCTTACAACATCACTGAAAAATGCGCAGTGCCAATAAGAAAAAAGGATGTTCACTGCAAAGCAACAAAAAATATATTCGGGTTCACCCTGCAGCTGTATTGATAAGGATAGCGCTCGCTTCTTCGTACCGAACAAAAAGTAGATGTGCTTACCTGTCGTCCACTGGAAAGCGGAAAAATTTCGCTGCGCTGTTTGTCCCCGAGTTGTTACACCACAAAGCAGTGCAGCACCCCTTGTTTCCTTTTCGTACGTTCGTCAACATTTTCAGTGCGTCCACACTCACAACCACGGAAAATTTTAACTTCAATAAATTCTCAAAATTTTCCAACGTGCACAGGGAAAACGGCAGGAGCAGACGAGCGGAATGGCAGCAGGAGAGATAAGAGCAAAAGCGCCAGCCGTCGGCGCAACAAATGCAGGGTATGGATAATTATGCAGGGTGTTAAAAAAAGAAAACAACCAATAACACATTTTATTTCTACGCATAATTGCGTAACTGTACTTTATCGATGCGCAGGTTAGAAAGAAAAGGTCATACAAGCAAAAGTCGTTGAATTTTCACTTCCTATCACTACAAAGATGAACGCCTTATATTGAATACCGCAACTAGTCGAAGTTTCCGGCCCCTGATAAAACCTAGCGCCGTCGATGTGCGCAAATGCGTGTTTACGCACTCTGCGTCTCGGACGTTCACCGGTCACATGCGCATTTGCGTACGCCGTTTTCCGCTATCCGACGTGCTTTCCATCCTTGTCTTGCTGCCGATGACGTGTTGCAGTTATCAGATAATTTTCTAGGCCACTTGTCATTTCGCGCTGCCACCTTTTATCTTTATATCTCACTGAAACATTTCATTACTTCACCCATAATTGCCGTTGTTATCTTCAGCAGCAGGAACATGGCGCTCATAAGTGTTTATGTCATGGTGCTATTCCCGACATGGATTTATTAATGGGGTTTGACGTCCCGAAACCACCATATAATTATGAGAGACGCCGTAGTGGAGGGCTCGGGAAATTTCGAACATCTGGGTTTCTTTAACGTGCACCAAAATCTCAGCACGTGGACCTACAACATTTCCGCCTCCATCGGAAATGCAGCCGCCACAGCCGCGATTCTATCCCGCGACCTGCTGGTCAGCAGCCGAGTACCTTAGGCACTATACCACCGCAGCGGGGCCATTCTCGACATGAAGGAAGGTAAAGCTAGGATGGAGCACTGCATGATGAGCAAGAAATAAAGAAACTTCCGGTGAAGCACGCATAGGCGAAGTTTCGCTAGTTCAATTTTTTTCCAATACAGGTGGGTCTTCAGGTTTCTGAAGAATTAGAAACAACACCACTTAAGGTGCTTCCTACCAATTGTACGTAATCTCGTTGTACGGTTTTTCTGGTTATGTGCCTGCTAGAGTGTCTAATTGGTAAGCTGCTACAAATAAAGCACTGCCACATTCTTTTGTGGGGAAAAACTTGACAACTTATAAATAAGAGGTAATCTATAAGTAAGGCATAACCCGAAGTGCATAGAGGTCGACGCAATAAAGTGATCAAACAATTCTTTTATTTCCACATTGAACACTTATCATGTATCGTCTACATCATATATCATAAATATTGAAGTGAGCAACCTGACTTCAGTTTGACAAGAGGATCGACAATAGGCTCTTGGTATATTCGACAAAATAAACAGAGCTTGTCAAAAGGTAGGAGTGGAGGTGAAGTATATATATAATTGATGTTCATCTGCAATCTCTCCTATTTTGGTAGTAATGTTTATGAGGCAGGAGTGACGTGTCTCCCAAACGCTGGTTGCGTATTGCATGACAAAATATGCAAGTACAAGAACATAGTGCTGCCTATATAACATTCCTGAAGCCATAATTGCAAATAACTGTACAAAAAAGATAGATCAAATTTTAAAGTCCTAGCTATTACGCACAATGAGAAATGGTTCGAGCCAAGATCAAATCAAGAATCTATCTGAAAGAACTGCGCTACTTTATAAACGGACAAGGGGTTGCACAAGGATGGCTGACATGTTCCTATGTGCATGTCTATAGCAGCACTGTTTTAGGAGCGAAGCTCCTTAAGGCATAGGTCTGTTCATTCCTTGTATGTATGTAGTAGTACGTAGCCACCAGTGGCACATACCCGCTCTAGAGTGGGTATGAGCCACAGGGGATGCGAAGTGAGAGATGGTGGTACTTGGAGTGTTCACTAGATGAACACACTGACGGACGGACAGACAGTCTAGCAGATGGACAGACGGATGCATAAACGCGCGTACAGACAGACGTATGGATGCACGAACAGACAGATAGATGAATGGACGGACTCACTGTTGGACGGAAGCACGGACGGGCTGACGGACGCTTCGCCCCACTCATCATCATTCACTCCGTGGATATGCTGCTCTAACGTAAAAAAACATAATGCGCGAGGTTTATCTCCGGTAATGCTTTCTTGTATTGTTGTGGTCTACGAGTCATATGAATCTTATAAGTAAAGAAGTTGCAAAGGCGGGATGGGCTAATAAGTTTCAGAGGGCTTGCAAACTTGTCCTCACTATGGCTATTATGTTTTTAATATTTTCGCATACTCGAAGCAGGATAAATAAGAATTGTAATTCTTTGCCTCCCCCCCCCGAAACAGGATTTTTGCTATGGCATACAGCGCGAAAAAGGGCAATTCAAAAATGATGCCCTCTTTTAAAAAAATCTGCAAATGCTCCTCTCGATAAGTGGCCATTTTTGTTATTTTGTGGTGCTAAACTGAATTCACCACACAAACTGGGACGGCGGCAAAGGGTGATGTCTACGATAAACGAGGACAAGCACTTGTCCTCGTTGTTCTTTTAGTTCATGGTGCAACATTCGCCGCGTCTCAACAGTTCATTACTATATCGTGGTTACCTTTCCTGCGCTTTAGCTGTTCAAGACATGGAATACGAACAAGCCTACTTCCACACCTTGCTTCAGAACGTTGGACGCAGCTTGTATAGTTCTGCTGTCTGTTATTTTTCCAACGCGAAGCATATTGTTGCGTACTGCAAGCATTTTTGCTGTCTATCTGCGTATCTATTCATATACCTATCTACCGCTTAAATGTGGGTGCTCTCGTGATCACCCCATTAACTTGGCGTGAAACAAAATTAGTATGCAAGGGTTAGATGGTTTCGCGAATATGACGCACTGGTCAGTACATGAATAAAGTCACAATTCCGTCGCGCACATCTTCCATTACTTTCCGTCGGGCAGGCCACATACCGGAGGTCAGGTATGTGCCATTGGTGATTGACAATTAGCATTTACCCACGAACGATGAGAACGCACATGGCAATTTTAACTCGCCAGCGTTAAGAAAAACCTGACATTAGTAGCAGTCACCTAACAAACGCAATTAAATATCAAGATCCTAGCTAGATTAGCATCCAGGCATTCTGCGTGGCGATGAAGCATCCTGTCGCAGACCTACGCCGCCGGGTCTCAAAACAGCTTTTCAAAAAGACGCGAATGTTTAGTGGCTAAGGTACTCGGCTATTGACCCGCAGGTCACGGGTTCAAATCCCGGCTGCGGCAGCTGCATTTTCGATGGAGGCGGAAATGTTGTAGGCCCGTGTGCTCAGATTTGGGCGCACGTTAAAGAACCCCAGGTGGTTAAAATTTCCGAAGCCCTCCACTACGGCATCTCTCATATTCACATGGTGGTTTTGGGACGTTAAACCCCACATATCAATCAAATCAAAATGACGCGAATGTTCATGAAACGTCAAAAGTGGATTCAGTGCTGGCTACCCAATTTTATAAACATTACATAGGTACTTTTTTGATACAACTGTCACGTCACGTTAACGTCGATTGTAGTTAGGTGCCATGCGCTGAAGTGGACATATATAGCAGTGTCCATGGCAATCATGATCGTGAGCATCCGCGCTATAAATAAACTTATCGCTTCTTTCGGGGTTGCTAATACGCACGTTCCTGTCGGCATCGTCGCGCAAGTGCAAACAATTGGCTAAATAAATATTTGCAACTCTTCAACATATTTCTGTGTGTGCGACAGTTGTACGTATATTTCACGTCATTTGAGGACGTGCCCCTCAATCAAAAAAGTGCAACACCGGCACGCTCCTTCCGCATGCGTTGGATAATGTTGATTCCCAAGGTATACGAGCACTGTATGGAGCACAGTATATATGAGCACAGTTTGGGTTTCAAAAGGGTAAGTCTACGCAGTCGGCGCTATTTGATACGAAAGAGGAGATAATCAAAAACATGGAAAACAGAACCTACA